AGGTTCTTTCAATGGTGTGACATGCTAAAGTCTGCACTGTCTCCTTGGTAGCAGTTTAAATAAGTGCAAAGTTAACTCAAAATCTCAGGCAGTTCAGCATGTGTGGAATGTGTGCCACTTTTTTTTATATATAGCATATTTTAAATAATTAACCTCATTTATCACCATTGTAGCTTTTTGGGGCTAGCACTATCCATATGACCTTTGTACAATGTACAGCATAGTTTGTCAAGAGAACATAAGGAAGTTTAGCACTTCTACTTTTTAGACATTTGTGCTTGTAGTAAAAAAGAGGAGGCCGTTCAGCCCATCTAGTCTATTTGGTAGTTAGTAGTTGTTTCAAAGTTCTTGTCCAGCCATTTCTTGACATAGTCAGAGAATTATTATTATTTTTATTTATTTTTTAATTATTATTGCTTACACTTATATAGCACTTTTCTGGACACTCCACTCAAAGTGTTTTATAGGTAATGGGGACTCCCCTCCACCACCACCAATGTGCAGCATCCACCTGGTGTGCCAGAACATTCACCACACATCAGCTATCAGTGGGGAGGAGAGCAGAGTAATGTAGCCAATTCATAGAGGGGGATTATTAGGAGGCCATGATTGGTAAGGGCCAATGGGAAATTTGGCCAGGACACCGGGGTTACACCCCTACTCTTTTCGAGAAGCGCCCTGGGATTTTAATGACCATAGAGTGTCAGGACCTCGGTTTTACGTCTCATCCAAGGACAGCACCTGTTTACGGTATAGTGTCCCGGTATAGCTGCTGGCGTTGCTATGTTGTAGAAGATTATCTTCTACAACATAGCAGGGGATACATATTCCTATAACCCTTAAGGTAAAAAAATGACCTGCTTACTTGGTATCAAGTGCACTTCCACATAGTTTCCACTTGTGCCGTCTGGTTTGGATGTCACTGTTCATTCTGAAGAAATCTGCTGGGCTGTAAGACAATGCAGGACATTCTCTTAAGGAATGTATCAGGTTGCCCTTCTCTGGACTGATTCCAGAACAGCTGCTGTATATGTTTTCTATAACAACAAAAATTGTACACAGTATTCTAAATGATGCCTTACAGCTGCATTGTACAATTTCAAAATAGCATCCTTTAATTTGAATTCTACACATTTCACTACATAATCTAATGTTTCATGATCTAATATTTTATCACACATTTTAGTTTTTGCTTTCCAACATTATCTGCAAACTGTAAATGATGTGTCAACATAAATACCCAAGTCTTTACTAAAAGTAGCCTTTCCTAAGTCTTCTGACTAGTGTTTCCCATTTGTATTTATAGTTTAAATGTTTTTGCTACTTGCATTTGTGTGTATTAAATATCTTGAAGGCATTTGCCCAGTCTTGAATTTCATCTAAACCTTTTAAAATGTTATTTGTGGTTTCTACAGTGTTTTTGGTAATCCCAAGTCTCTGTTATCTGCAAAATAGTCTATAGTTTACAAAATAGTTTACCAGAATCTAATCATGCATATATATTATTAGGAGCAGTGGCTCCAGTACACATTCTGCACTTACTCTACTCCAATAAGAATAACACTCTTATATGAGTATGTAGACCTATCTGTGTCCTCTGTTTTCCATTTAATAACAAATTCTCCACCCAAACGTTTCCCTGAATGCCTACCATCTGCAATTTGGGAAATAATTATCTACCAGAAACATTTTCCAATGTCTTCTGAAAATCAAAATATATCATGTCACATGACCTATATGTATTCATTATTTTTGTTGCTAAAACAAGTTGGTTAGGCAAGACCTACCCTTTTTAAATCCATGATGACTATTTCTAGGATACTGTTTAGATAAAGCCATCCTTTTATTTTAGTTATAGCAATTGTTTTCATAACCTTTCAAGTAATACAACTCAGGCCCTACTTATAATTGTACATGACATGAACAAATGTCCAGTCTATGGTTACTACCTCTGTGTTGAGTGACTTTCAGAAGAGTTGTGTCAATAGCTTCCAATTAGCATCTCTTATTTCCTGCATTACAATTGGAAAGTTACCATCAAGCTTTGGAGGTTAATTAATATTATTTATTAAGTGTATTAATGCTTCTTCTATGCTTTTATAATTTTTAATACAGAACTGTGTATTCCTGGGTGAAATATTCACTTGGTACTGTATATCAGTTGCTCATGTAACAAGAGCTGTCATGCAAGGTAACAATGTGATAGTCATGTTATTAGCACCCTACTCACCAAACCTGAGCTCCAGTAAATATTTGTGAGATGAGCTGGGACTATGTGTGGCACCTAGGGCTCAGAGACAAGTGAACATGGACACTGTTTTATGCAAAAGTTTGGGCACCCCAGGCCAAATTACATGTTTTGTTTATTTTCGAAGTGAAAAGAAGTTAACACAACCTCTGCAGTGAACAAACTTAAACTTGACATGTTTCTGCAAGTATTGATGCACAGTTACTATTTATTTGCTAAATTTAACAGATTGAAAAAAATTAAACAGTAAATGTGGCATGTGCAAAACTTAGGGCACCCTTCCAGTTGGTCCACTAGTGTTATTTGTTTGTAAGGTCTCAGAACTTAATTGACTCGTTAGGCCTTCATCTAAGACAGGTGATGACAATTCCAGAGTTTCATTAGTTCCCTGATTCTTCAAACCTCTCAGGGTGTTGTGCTTACACTCAACAACCATGGGCTCCTCGAAGCAGCTGACTGAGGATAAAAAAAAATAAAGATAATTGACTCTTACAAAGCTGGGGAAGGCTATAAAAAGGTATCTAAACGCTTCCAGCTTGCAATTTCCACTGTCCAAAATGTCATTAAGAAATGGAAGTTAAAGGGAACTGTTGAAGTCAAGACAAGATCTGGAAAACCAAGAAAAATCTCAGTTAGAACTGCTCGTGGACCCCCATATCACTGCAAAGGACCTGCAGGAAGGTTCAGCTGGCACAGGAGTAGTGGTGCACTGATCCACTGTGCAGTGTTGCTTACACAAACATGATCTGCATGGAAGAGTCATCAGAAAGAAACCTTACCTGTGATCTCATTACAAAAGTCAACGTATGAAGTATGCAACACAACACTTAGATAAGCCAGAGGCATTTTGGAATCAAGTGCTGTGGTCTGATGAAGTAAATATTTAACTCTTTGGCTGCAATCACCAAAGGTACGTTTGGAGAAAAAAAGAGTAATTTGAAGAAAAGAACACCTTGCCAACTGTTAAGCATGGGGTCGGATCTATTATGCTTTTGGGTTGTGTGGCAGCCAGTAGCACAGGAAATATTGTGCAGGTAGAGGGAAGAATGGATTCTACTAGGTATCAACAAATCCTGGAAGCTAATGTCCCACAGTCAGTGAAGAAACTGAAGCTGAAAAGAGGTTAGATATTAGAACAAAACAATGATCCAAAACATACCTCAAAATCAACCATGAACTACTTCAAGAAATGAAAGATTAAGTTTTTGGAATGGCCTTCATAGTCCCCAGACTTATTGAAATTCTGTGGGTAGATCTCAAACGTGTATGCAAGACGACCTAAGAATATTTCTGAGCTAGAAGAGGTCTGCAAGGAAGAGTGGGAAAAATTTCCTAAAACAAGAATAGAAAGGCTGCCTAAAAAAAACGTTTGGCAGCTGTGGTTTCTGCCCAAGTGGATGTTATTAAGTACAGACTGACAGGGTGCCTAGACCTTTGCACATGCCACATTTACTGTTTTTTTTTTTAAATCTGTTAAATTTAGTAAATAAATAGTTACTATGCATTAAAATTTGCAGAGATATGTCAAGTTTAAGTTTGTTTGCTGCAGAGGTTGTTAACAAAAATCAACAAAACGTAATTTGGCCAGGGGTGCCAAACTTTTGCATAAAACTGTTTACTTATCCAGGGTTTGAAAAAGGAATGGAACAGAACTGCAGTATCACAGGAATGCATCACGGATATACAGTGGTTTGCATTGCTTCCTACAGTGGCTACACCTACTATTTGCAACTTTCACAGGAAACCCTTTTTTGAAAAGCTCTGCATGAATTCTTAGTATACACTATTTTCTAATAATGTGTGCACAGTATTGTTTAGAAAAGGTTACAAATACTTCTTTCTATTGGTGTTCGTTGTTAGATATGTTAGATTTTACATGTTTGCTGGGCATATGACACGGGTGCAAACTCAACTTTAGCAACATGAATACTTACCAAGGTGTAATCATTCTTGATTTAGTATAGACACAGGTTTATTTCCTGTAAACCTAGAATCATTCATCGTGCTTCTATTATTAGATTGTTATTAGTGTTTGAAGGCCTTGAACACTTGTAGTAAAACTCAACCTTTAACCACAACTTGCATTTTATCGTTGCCACACTAAAAATAGTGTGCCACACTAAAAAGTGTTTATTTCACTGAATTGCATGGGATCATACCTGAGTATAAAGAATGAGAAACCAAAGTTTAAAGCAAACATTGCAGGGGATTTTTTGATTCGTACAGTAGTATTTTGAAACAATGTGTGTAATTTCAAAGTATGTTTTTTCTAATCTAGATGTTCTCTAACAAGGAACAGAGTTTCATATATTTTTCTAATGTATTTTTTTTCTTGTTCATTTATTTTTTACTTTATTGATCTTTTTAAAGAGTGTTAATATTAGCATATGCCATGATTCTATGACACCAAAAATTCAGATAATCTTCAGATGGATTCATATACTATGTTCATGTTTTCCAGGATCCACTGAACATGTAGTATGGTAAAGTGTCCCCTATATTAAATAATACACTAAATGTAATATTTGCAGTTTTTAGACGAATACATTATTTTTTAAAGGATAATTTAATAATTGACAACTGAAATAAAACTAATTACATCATATTAGCATTTTTTAATCGTGTGAGTCCAAATGAATTGTAATGAAAGGAAAATTCAAATTCAAATTTCATTTTTATATAGTCCTCAATAACTCATAAACCTCATAATTATAGTTTACTAATCACATTGTTGTGATTTGATTTCTTGCAGGTAAGAAAATGGAAAATGATGAATAAGCACCATCCAGACAATAAACAGAAAACTCCATCAGCAGACCAAGATGTAGAAGCGCATTTGAGCTGCCCTTGGTCGATGAGTAGTGCACATCTCTTAGCTCACCCAATTATGGTGGAATGCTGTGTCTGCAGTGCTCCAGTTATCACCTACAGGATGCAGGAGGCCTGGGAGCCCAGAGAAAGAGCCCAGGTGAGCAAACAGTCAGCAAGGTTTCAGTTATTCTGTGCCCAGCTGTCATACATGACTTTCTGAAAAGATCGGGGTCTAGTCTAGCACAACAAGTTTCTATTCTTCAAGCTTCTAAGTTTCTAAGGGGTGAAGTGGTGGCTAAGGATCTGCGCCTGTGGCTGGAAGGTTGCTGGTTCAAATCTTGTAGCTGGCAGAGGAATCCTACTCTGTTGGGATCCTGAGCAAGGCCCTTAACCCCAACTTCTCCAGGGGCGCTGTACAATGGCTGATCCTGCACTCTGACCCCAGGCTCTCTGCCTATATGTGTGTCTCATGGAGAGCAAGCTGGGGTATGCGAAAGGATGAATTCCTAATGCAAGAAATTGTTTAGGGCTAATAAAGTGATGTTATGTTATGTTATTAAATATTCGGCATTGAGTAATGCTTAAAATTAGCTACCTTGAGTGGATACTAGATAGGGTAACATCTTTTAGACTTTTACAGTCTGTCATCTGATGGTGAGCAGGGTCTCAAAGTTAAATTATTAGCCATGTCATATATCGCCTTATCCACTGCTCCGTTACGGTCTTCTGGTAAAGATAAATATTCTTTGAAAGTTCTTTTGAGCCTTATTGATCCAGATGGAGTAGTCACTCCTGTGTGTATGTAACAACAGCAGCAAAAGTGTCAGATTTCAAATGTTAAGTAAGGCTGGGCCTGGTCAGTAGTATGATGGGAAGATGTTGCTGGGCCGGTAGAAGATCACTTTTCTTCTGGGTAAGAATTCCCAAATTAGTACCCAGTGACGAGGGACACTGTGTTGAGTTATTAAGCTGAAGTTCTGATAAATTAAAGGCTCCAAGTTCCAAGCTCTTTCGGCCAAGGTAGAGATATTAATACTCTCTAAAGTTTACTCTGTCCTTTCATAAATAGCCTTTTTAATTGAATTGTGAAGTAATTCTCTCATTTTCCCATCTAATCTGCTGAGTAGTACTAGGCCTGCTGGCCCATAATGGCTGCCACACTTCACCCCTGTGGTACTGCACTGCATGCGTGAAGTGCAGAACATGGAAGATTTGAGGAAGCATGGTGAAAAGGACAAACATAAAAGAGCTGAATTATTTAAAGGCCACAAAATAATAGTTTACCATTGGGTTGGTTAATGGGTGTTTTAAGAATATTTAGGGTGTTTTAAGTCATTTCCATACATTTCCCTGGAATTTAGCTCAAAGTTAAGAAGTGTGGTTGCTGCACACCACATATCTTGTGATGTCCACAAGAATCTGTTTGCAATTATACGTTTCTGAAAAGTTTCATTTGACATTCCGGGATGTGTTATAAGTGACCAAAGAATAATACTAATCATGAAAACAATGTATTCATTTTTCTAAATGAGTTACGACTTTCCATATAACCACAAACCCCTTGATGTATGTCCAGCATCTTGAAAAGTTTTAAAACCCAATTATAGGGCCCAGGAAAAGAGTTTATTATTAACAATCTGGTTCCACTTCAGACTTTTTTTTTGTTTTCTTTTTCTTATGTACACCCCATGGGCAAAATAATTTAAGTTTGGTTTAAGCGCATTAAGATTGTTTTTCTTTAAATTTAAACATTTTCAACTAGACTTGTCATCAATTACTGGCTAACAAAAGTCTGAAATGTTGGTTTTAAGGGAATTCCAAGCCATTTCTGTGTTATCAAAAGAGTAAAACTCTCCATATTTGAATTTAAAAAAAGAATCTATGGGAAACAATATTGTGCTCTGTGATGCCCATAAAATATAGATAGGATTTATACATAATATGTAATTTAGAATTCACTCTTTCGCCCTTCAATATTATTTTCAAGTAAAACCTTCAATACCATTAAAGCAAAGGAAATTCATTTCTTAGAAACTTTAGAAAATGTTATGTGTTTTTCTTCAGCGTGTTAGGTGATTCTCTGTGTGTTGTACCAGTGGATTTTGAGTTGAATATCAGCTAAGGAATTTGAATTTCATAGCAATTACATTTGTTTGCAGTGATTGAAAGGATCTTGTTTATACAGTCTTGCCACCTTTGCTCATATTTTATTCCCAGCTTGCATTTCTCTAATTCCACCATCTGAAACGGGCCCTTTATATTCCCCTTGCAGATAAATGTCCATGTGACAGATGGTGGAGCAGATGTGCTGACATGCTATTTTTAAGCAATGCAAAACTGTGTATGAGACTATTGGGCACACTTCAGTGTGAGCAGGCTTGCTGTATGCTTCTCAGTCCTCAGAGTGATGTGAAATACTAGGTTAGTGGAGAGACATTTTAATGCTGCACACTAGCAAAATATGTACAATTTTAAAACACTGGGGCCTGAATGAGGACTTGAAAGCACACAGAATGTATGTTTACCAACAGGTGACATTATGTGGAAATATTGAACAAGAAAGGTCTTGGGATATTTTAATTAAGGACATTGCACATTGGCACATTGCAGCGATCATTAGTGCTGCTGCCAGAGTTTGATTCCAGCCTGGGGTTCTTCTGAGCACAGTTTGCGTGGTCTTCCTGTGGTCACGTGGGTTTTCCTGTTTCCTTCCAGAGTCCAGAGACATGCTGTCTGGGTTAGATATTACCTCTAAACCCTCCCCTCTATACATGTGTGCATAGCCTGCAATCAAATGCGGTCATATCCAAGGTGTATCCTTATGATACTAAGGACGTATCATAAGGACGTTTACAAACTAAGGAGCCTATGAACGATCCTCCTAAAATAGTAACTAGGCAGAGGAGTATCCCAACACAATAAACAGCCGGAAGAATGGTTATTTGTTACGCAGCATATAGTATTGCTGTCTTGCAATACTGGGACCCTGGGTTCAATTCCATGGGTACTACCTGCATGGACTTTGTATGTTCTCCTTATGTTTCTGTGGCTGTCCTTTAGGTGCTTCAGTTTCCTCCCACAGTCCAAAGATATATTGGTAGATCATGGAAAAAGTCTGGGAAAATTGTCCCCCTGGTGTGAGTGTGTGCATGTCTTTGTGTGTCTGTGTCTGTGTCTGTGTGTCTGCTCTGTAAAGGACTGGAACCCCATTGAGGGTGTATCCTGCCTTGTGCCTATTGCTTCAAACCGTACAGTTTTTAGTAAGGACTAAGTCGATGGGTGAGCACTGAAACTTCTGTACTCAATTTGGTGCCACTGCTCCTAACTGAAAAAGAAGTCTGAGAGACTGTTCTCACTGAGACACCCTTTCTCCTGTGTGGTCTACCTGTTTAAAGTAAAATCTAATAGGAACCAGCTGCAACCCAAGTGTGAATGTCTGTACTTATTTTCCTGAAAATTATCCCTCATCCACCCTCCAGCAGCTTAACAGCTGCTCCATGACAGAGTCATTCAACCAATCTAGTATATTTGGTTTGTAGTAGCTAATAGATTCAAAGATCTGTCCCATCCAGACATTTCTGTTATCAACTTCAACAAACAGGGCATTGACGTCAGACAGGGTATCAGCTTCAACCACAGAGCTAGGGAGTGTGTCCTCCACTCCCACAACTTATTAGATTTAAATACTAATACAAGAGAAATTTCTTTAGGTGCTAAATGTTATCAGGCTAACAACAAAAGATATTTAAGACATCAGGGTAACTCAACTTCAGCAGTTTGACATAATGTCTAAATTACTCTGGTATCTATATTTCCCATCAACACTGTGTTGCAGCAGGAACAAACTGGACTTCAGAGAAATCCTGCAGTCTTTTCACAAGGACAGTGCTTCCAATATAATCAAAACAATTTATATTTAACAAGGAGTTGTGATTAGAATGTTTCAGTACATACAACAGCGGCATGATATCTAAAACCACTAAAATACATAAGCTGATGCAAATACTATTAATGTGCACAGGATTTTTTTTTTCAGGAAAGTGCCACCTTCTCCACATACTTACGTCTTTGATTTGTATATTTGAAGAGTTCATATACTTAATGGAATAGACTAACAGAATAAATAGGAATAAGAAGTTCTTCAACACCTTTTGGAGAAGTTTTACTAAATGCACTCAAGCATGCAATATTAAAATACAGAAAATATAACATTATTACTTACAGTATACGTTACTGTTTCTGCAGAGAAAAAAAAAGTTTGGTGTAAAAAAAGCTTAAAAGCCAGAAGTATTACCAGTCCATTGATATTTCTCTTTATTGTTTTGAACTCATTGGAACATTTAAGGTCACATCTGATAGAGCAGAAAAAAAAATGTTCAGACCAAACTATTGTACTTATCAGCTCACACTCTTATCATGGAAAGCAAAAAATGCTTATCAGAAGGACTATGCATGAGGCTCACGGCCTGAAAGCACACAGCTGCTGCACTTAGAGGAGATGCCACTCCAGCACAGGACACTTCATAGTGTCTTTTGTAAAAAAATATGTTATTTTGTATTTTTATTTCATGTGACACTGTGACCCACCCCCCACACTACTGCTGAACAGGCTGGTGTATTTAATAATTTAAAATAGTTTAATTTGTCTGTCTTACATCTCTTTTACTAATTTCAACCAGTATGAGAATTCATGCCCAAAGAATTATTGTATACAGTTTTGAAAAGGCAAACATTGGATGTAGCATTTAACAAATGTGCATTTAAGCTTTCTAGGACACCTAATAGCAATCCCCTCTCCTAAGTGTCCTGGGACTGTCCACTCCAAAGGTATTGGGGCAGTAAAGCTGAACCTGCCCTTGTTGCTTTATAGGCAAGCAATATGTATTTGTGATCATTAGATTAATATGAATGACAAGTACTATGTGACATATGTTTTGCATTTTGGGGTAATTCCATGCATTGATTATATTACTGTAAAACAAATCATGCATTGTGTACAACCTAGTGATATCAAGTTACCATAAGTACTGGTATCCATTTACATACATTCCACACTGGAAAATTAGGTACATGGTTGCATATTGCTTTGAGGTGATAAGTAACACTCTTTGTGGGATCAGTAGAGATGCTTTGTCACATCTTTGCTGTAACTAGTTT